AGGCATAATTTAAACTGATCTGTACTTAATTTTAACTAGAAACCTGTTTATTTTGGGAAGAGTATTGCAGTACTTAGTGCAGGACACCTCCCTCCCTTCCTTAGCATTCATGTCTGGAATGGCAAGCTTATTTACTTTTTTTCTGGAAACACTACTGTTTTCACAAAGAAGGGATACAGTATCCATGGGGGGAGCTATTTTCCAAAAGTTACTCCAGTAGTATTTTAGGGTATGTTCAGTGACATGGAATATGCCTGTTTGAATCTATAATAAGAATTACAAAGTCCATTTATTTATCTAAATATTTTAAAGTATTTTCTCAAGATCCAATCCACACCCTTTTCATTCAGAAACACTTCATTGTCTGTGGGACTCGACAGAGGTATATAGCCAATTCTTGGTCTGGCAGGGAAAAGTAGCATCTGCTTCATGCCCATATTTTTTTTCTTGTTTAAACAGTCATGAACACTTCTGAAACTGAAAAAGAACAGAACTGCAATTGAGATGAATTAAGATTTCTGATCTATGAAAACTGCACTTAGAATTATTCATCAAATCAGAAGAAAATTGATTTTATTCACAGAATGTCATATTATAAACAAATACGAGACAAGGTTTTCATCAGTTTTGCTCATCCATTTGCTTTTGAGTTTTGCAATCCCAAGAAAACCAGGAGTGACAACCATGCAGGACCACAAAGTTTAATCACTTCTACACCCATATCACATAAGCATTCTAAAAAACCCCTGAAAAACAAGAAGTCTTCATAGTAAGAAAGTTAGCAGTAGTAAGTTGATGATATCTTGAGAGTAGAGGACCTTCAGGAAATTAGTCAAATCCTGAATTTATCTTCTCTTGATACTTACACTGTGGCATATCATAAATTAATATATTTCCTAATATAAAGGAACAAAGTAAAATCTCTCTTTTCAGTTTCTGGGGAATTTTTTTTTTCTCATATTCTCCCACTCTGAGAAAGAAATTACATAAATATTTACGTGGAATATGCAAGTACTAAAACACACTAACAAGGAACAAATATAATGGCCAGGCAAATAGAGTGTTATATAAAAGGATGAGTTCTGTAGAGCATATAAACCCATCCTTCACATATAAGTACAGATTTTTCCTGCTTGCATGATTTCATGAAATTGAGCCTTAGATGACTGTTATTTAAAAAAAAAAAAAAGGACAAAAGGGCAAACCATCTTCTCTTAAAAGAGATAAAACAACAAAAATACCTTTTTTTTCCAACATGAAGAAATTTCTTCTCTCCTTTATCCAAGATAACATAAAAGTTCTGATATTTATAAATGCTCTTTAAAATCAGACTCTTGTTTTAAGAACCGTAATCGCTTCAGGCTCACCTGAATTTCAAGTGCTACTGTATTCCAGGACTTAAGATATCTAAGCAACAATTCTTCCCTGAAATGTTTCACTTGTGCTTTCATTTTGCAACAGATCATGCAGAAAGAGTGAACCAGAGAACCAGGCAAAAGTCATAAGAAATCTAAAAATGTTCAAATGTTTGCATAGTTCAAATGTGCAAATACATGAGCGTGCATGCACACACATTTTTAGCCAACAATACTATAGTTACATGGTCTCATACAAATCACAGCAATGAAAACAATGATGAGACATAAAGGAAAAGCAATAGCATAATAATGCATATAAAATGGATATAATAACATAAAATAGATATAGACTAGATATCAGCCAGTCTAGAATGCATCCTGTAATGGATCATAGATCACCAGAGGGTTCAGGTTGTGGTTATATTGGGAACCCCAGTCCAAATGAGAAGGACAAACAGAAATCCCTCCCAGATCTACCTCCTCCTTCCAGGTTACCTGCTGTAGTAAAGACTAATCTAAGTTTCAAACTTTGAATCAGCCTTCTTCTGATCTAGTATTTACAAAATTCCTCTTCCATCACCACTCCTACCTCTATGTAATTAGCATAACCAGTCTGAATATCAGATGTTCTGAAGCATTAAAACCATTAGTCAAGGAGTCAAGAGTAATCTGAAGTTATTTTACTGCTAAATCATAGAATCATAGGATGGTGTGGGTTGGAAGGGACCTTAAAAATCATCTAGTTCCAATCCCCCTGCTATGGGCAGGTACACTTTCCACTAGGCGATATTGTTCAGAGCTCCATCCAACTTCTCCTTGAACACCTCCAGGGATGGGGCAACCACAACTTCTCAGGGCAATTTGTTCAGTGTCTCACCACCCTCACAGTAAAGACTTTTTCCTAATATCTAGTCTAAACCTACTCTCTTCCAGTTTGAAGCCATTCGCCCTTGTCCTGTGGCTCTTGTAAAAAGTCCCTCTCCATCTTTCTTGTAGGCTCTCTTCAGGAACTGGAAGGCCACAATTAGGTCACCCCGAACAAACCCAATTCTCCCAGCCTTTCCTCGTAGGAGAGGTGGTCCACCCCTTCTAACCATCTTGGTGGCCTCCTCTGGACTTGCTAAAACACATGAATGTCCTTCCTGTGCTGGGAATCCCAGAGCTGGATGCAGCACTCTAGGTGGGGTCTCACCAGAGCAGAGTAGAGGGACAGAATCCTCTCCCTCAATGTGCTGACCACGCTGCTTTTCATGCAGCCCAGGATACAACTGGTTTTCTGGGCTGTGAGTGCACATTGTTGGGTCATGTCCAGCCTCTCATCCACCAGTATCCTCAAGTCCTTCTTGGCAGTGTCACACTCAGTCTGTTCATCCCTCAGCCTGTATTGATACCAGGGGTTGCCCTGACCCAAGTGTAGAACTTTGCACTTGGTCTTGTTAAACCTCGTGAGATTCCCACGTGACAACTTCTTGAGCTTGTCCAGGTCCCTCTGGATGGTATCCTGTCCTTCAGGTGTGTCAGTGGCACCACTCAGCTTGGTGTCATCTCTAAATTTGCTGAGGGTGCAAATCCCTTTGTCTATGTCATTAATGAAGATATTAAATAATGCTGGTCCCAATAGGGACCCCTGAGGGACACCACTTGTCACTGACATCCATTGGGACTTGAGCCATTAACAACAACCCTCTGGATGTGACCATCCAACCGCTTTCTTATCCATCTTGCAGTCCACCCATTGAATCCATCTCTCTCCAAACTCACTTTCCTGTCCTCCATGTGCTTTAGCATAGCTTCTAGGACTATTTGTTCCATGATCTTCCCAGGCACAGAGGGGAGGCTGACAGGTCAGTAGTTCCCAGGGTCCTTATTTCTACCTTTTTTAAAGATGTTTCCTTTTTCCAGTCCCTTGGACTGCCATCACTTTTCAAATATCATGGAGAGTGTCTTGGTAACTACTTCAGCCAATTTGATGAGAATTCTGTAATGCACCTTATTGGGTCCCGTTGACTTATGTACATTCAGGTTCCTCAGGTGATCGTGAACCTGATCTTTACTTGCAGCAGGAGGGACTTTGCTCCCCCAGTTCCCATCCTGCTATCCATTAAGAGGTGTGGGAAGAGGGCTTGCCATTGGAGACTGAGACAAAAATGTTGTTGAGTACCTCAGCCTTCTCCTCATCCATAGTTACCAGTTTTCCAGCATTGTTTATTGGGTGGGTACACCTTCTTTGATCACCCCTTTCTGGTTAACATACCTGAGGAAGCGCTACCTGTTATTCTTTACATCCCTTGGCAGGTTCAGTTCCAGCTTCACCTTGGCCTTTCTCACCCTGTCCCTACACAAATGGACTTCATGTCTATACCCTTTCTAGGTCATCTGTCCTTGTTTCCACTGTGCATCTCTTCTTTCCCTTTAGTTTGACCAGCAGTTCCCTACTCAACCATACTGTCTCTTGCCTTCCTTTCCCAATTTCTTGCTCCTGGAGACCGCTAGCTGTTGCACTCTATGAAAGACTTCCCTAAAGATCTGTCAGCTCTGTTTCACTCCCTTGTCCCAGAAGGCAGTCTCCCAGGGGATCCCACTGACTATTTCCCTGGAGAGTTGGAATTTTGCTTTCCTAAAGTTCAGGGACCTAACTTTACTTTTCACCTGACCCATTTTCCTCAGGACTGCAAACTCCATCAGTGCATGATCACTGCAGCCCAGGCTGCCTCCAGTATTGGTGTCCTTAGTTAGCTCACTTGCGTTGATGATCAACAGAGCCAGTAACACATCCGTTCTGGTAGGGCTGTCTACTACCTGGGTCATGAATCATAGAATCATTAAGATTGGAAGAGACCTTTAAGATCATCGAGTCCAATTGTCCACTGCCTCTGTAACCCCTAAACCACTAAACCATATCACTCAGTGCCAGATTCAGATGCCTCTTGAACACCTCCAGGAATGGTGACTCCACTACCTCCCTGTACAACCCATTCCACTGCCTGAGTACCCCATGGTTGAAAAAAATATTTCTAATATCTAATCTGAATTTCCCCTGTCTCAGATAAAGGCCTTTTCCTCTTATCCTCTCATTGCAGACATGGTAGAAGAGACCAACCCCCACCTCACTACAATGTCCTTCCAGGCAGTTATAGAGAGTGATGAGATCCCCCTGAGCCTCCTCTTCTTGAGACTAAACAAACCCAGCTTCCTCAGCCATTCCTCACAAGACATGTTTTCTAGTCCTTTCATGAGCCTTGTTGCACTTTGCTGAACACACTCCAGCACTCCAATGTCCTTTTTAAAGTAAGGGGCCCAGAACTGAACACAGTACTCAGGGTATGGTCTAACTATTGCCAAGTAGAGGAGGGTGACCACTTCCTTAGTCCTGCTGGCTACACTATTCTTGATACAGGTCAAAATGCCATTGGCCTTCTTGTCCACCTGGGCACACTGTTGGTTCATATTGAGCCAACTGGCAACCAGCACCCTCCCTTTCTGCTGAACGTATCTTGAGACACTCCTCCCCAAGCCTGTAGTGCTGCATGGGGTTGTTGTGACCCAAGTGCAGGACCAAGCACTTCACCTTGTTGAACCTCATGCAGTTGTCCATAGCCCATTGATCAAGTCTGTCATGGTCTCTCTGTAAAGTCTTCTTACCCTCAAGCAGATAAACACTCCCACTGAACTACTGTTGTCTGCAATTCTCCATGTAGTCTCCCGGATTGCCCACAGCTTCTCGTGATACTTTTCTTGCTGCTGTTTGGGTGGTTGAAGTCCCCCACCAGATGAACAAGAGCCTGCGACTGCAATGCCTGCTATAACTGGAGCAAGAAGGCTTCATCAATAGGCTCCCCTTGAACTGGGGCCTGTAAGTAGACACCAACCACAAGATTCCCTTTGTTGCCTCAGTCCCTGATTCTTACCCACATGCTTCCAACCTGCTTATGGCTGTTCTTCAGAGACAACACTTCACAATCAATCCAACTCCCGATGTAGAGGGCAAACCCTTCTTGTCTCCTTCCTCCCTTGTCTCTTCTGAACAGTGTAGTCGCACTCCACCCATGGGATTCGGACCACCAAGTTTCACTAATGGCAACAAGGTCATACATAACTTTCTAGCAGCACAGTGGCTTCCAGCTCCTCCTGTTTGTTGCCCATGTTGCGTGCCTGGGTGTAAAGGCACCTCAGCTGGGCTGTCTGCCATGTCATCTTGTGTCATGGTTTCCAGTTGGAAATTAAGCACCACTCAGCAGTTCATTCAAGTCTCCCCTCTCTTTCCCCCTACCCCAGTGGAATGGGGAGGAGAATCAAAGTACAACTTGTAGGTTGAGCTAAGAACAGATTAATAATTGAAAATAAATTAAAATAAAGTAATAATGGTAAATTATAATAATAATGATAATAAAAAAAGAAAAAACAAGACAGACACAATACAACTGATCACCAGCCACAGACCAATGCCAGGCACCCTTTCCAAGACATTCTTCTCAACTTATATACTTGGCATGATGTTCTAGGTTGTGCAAAATCACTTTGGTCAGTTCAGGTCACCTGTCACAGCTATGCTGCATCCCAGTTTCTTTCATGTACCTCCTCGCTGGTAGAGCATGAGACAAGAAAAAGTCCTTGACTTAGGATAAACACGACTTAGCAAAAAACCAGAACGTCAGTGTGTTATCAACACCATTCTCATTCTGAATCCAAAACATAGCAATGTAACAGCTACCGAGAAAAAATTAACTCTACCCTAGCTGAAACCAGGACACCTTCCTAGTGGGACACCCCTTAATTCCTTTGATAAATTTCCCTGGTGTTTCCTTGTTGGCTTCCCTTACCTCAGGAGACCCTGGCTTGCCTCCATAAGACTGCAAATGTGTTCCAGCACGGTTAGCACAGCTCAGAGTTACCGGTAGAGAGCCTCCACCAGTGCCCTGTCACTATAACCTTTGCATATCATCTCACAGTTTGCCTGATATTGTCCCTATCCCCCATTACAACTACTTTAAAGCCCTGTCAATGAGCCCCGATAGTTTCCAAGCAAAGACTACTGCCTCGCTGAGAAAGGTGAGTCCCATTTGATGCCAGCATACCCAGTGCTGCATAGGCCATTCCACTGTCAAAAAAACCACAAAATTTTGGCAGTGATACCACTCACAGAAGCTGGGAGTTTCCAAAGATTCAAAGGGAGAAATGGGGTGGAGCGAATAAAAAACCAGTTGTTTCATAAGCATGACTTGCATGGTATCACACAATAACTTGCAAGACAAAAAACTATACTATTGCATATGTGAGCTGGATGAATAAGAACTAGGCAATAGAGATGACCTATATCAGCAAGCCCATATCTTAAAAACGCTTTGATGACTTTCACCAATAGTCAAAAGCCAAAACTTCAGACATTAGAAAGACTGAAAAACATGTGTAATATCCTGACCAGTTAACACCGATATCTGAAAAAAAAAAAAAATCATTATCTCTTAGGCAATTACACCAGACTGGATAAGATGCCTGACATAACATGCCCCCAAAGCACACTCATCCTTCTATGTGTGAGAATTCAATGCTATCTAAACTATTCCATTGAGATAGCAGCCAGAAGGAATACCATTGCCATCAAGAATTGCACACAACTGTGTTTATCTACATATGGCCTATATCTGTAATGTATCCTATCTGTAATGCATCTTACTTGACAGCCCTGTTAAACATTTAAAAACTCTTGCTAACTCTTAATGAAAATATGGTTTCTGATTACACAATTGGCCAGGTGCAGTTCAGCTTTCCAGAGAAAGAAAAGGCAATGTCTCTCAACTTTTTGCGAATGTCTAATAATTCTCTTCTAGGCTGCAACAATGTAAAACAGCAATACAGTATACAGCTCTGGGAAAAACAAACAAAAAAAACCCCCAACCAACCAACCAACCACCAAAACAAATCCCATGCATAATAAATAAAGAAATCTATTGCCCTGAGTAAAGACAACTCCTAAGGCATACTGGAAGTCTGTCCAGCTGTGTTATTTCAGATCTTTAAGGCCCAAAAAGTTTGAAATGCTCAGGTGAAGCCATCCACCCTTTCACTTTTACTCTAGTACGGAAAAGGAGTGAGGAAGAAAATCTCACAGTATAATTTAACAAGGTACTCTAGCTGTCAAATTTTCCATTGTAAGCTGATGAAACTGAGGTGGCCATGTGCCTTTGAAAGTATCCCCTATAATTTCTTTCTTTTGTTTAAATCTTATAGTGAGTAATACTTTTTATGTCTTATAAATGATTCCTACTTGTTATAAAACTCCTAAATATCTAAGCTCAGATAAAGCATTATTTTCTTTATTTCACTTCCCAAGCATATTGTAAATATTTTTACACAATGTGAAGTGCATAAAATAGTTTATGACATACACTAAGACTGAAGAATCCCATCATTTCATACTAGCAAAAATAAAGTTTTTTTAAATGTAATCCATGCAAGTAAAATAAAATAAACCAAAACACTAAGAGGATTCAATGACTGTATTTAATTGGTTTTCCACAAACCAGGATATATTTCCAGAGGCAATTGTTAGTCTTTTTTGTGATAACAGAGTTTCTTTTGTGGATCCTTTTCCTGAGCTGCCAAAAATATTTGCCCCTTGTCAGGCAGCCAGCACTGATTTTAAGCCTATAGCAGGAGTTATTCTCTAGCATGGTTGCTTTCACTGAGAGGAACTTTCTCAGCGTTGTACTGGTGGCTTCTGCAACAGTCAGCGCATTCTTGGAAACACGCTGTAGCTCTAAATTAGGGATGAAATGCAGTAATACATTACTCTAAATTTTGCACACCTGTCAGTAGCAGCATTTGATGCTTGAAAGTGCTGTAAGATGATTCTCCTTTTCTAGTGCCTTCCTGCAATTCAAGGTCTCCTTGAAGTCAGCAGCAAATAGTGTGAGGGTCAGGTACCCCCTCACTCTATCTATCTTCTTGGTGGAATGCCTCGTTCTGCTCTCACATTGTATTTTCCCCAACATTGTCTGATTTTCATACCAACATTAAGAAATAGACTTTAGACTTTTGCACCTTTTCATTACTCCTCCAATAGGCAGATTACTACTGTAACCCATGACTCAGTCCTCAGTAGCATCTGGTGAGAGTCTTATACACTGACAACTCTTGAGGTTTTGAGAAGATTGGTTACCAGGATTTCAATATGATTTCTAAAGCAGATCTTCATATTTTAGAAAGATTGCTCAGTATTTTATTACAACCACCCAAGCACATCTAATCACACATCACTAGCAATAACTAGGTCTTTGTTGTGCCAATACAAGAAAAGGACAAGAAATTGTATAAAATACTCTTTTACTAATAAGTGTAGTTGCAGCCAAATTCAATTCTCTTAAGCTCTAGCTACTTATAACATAAGTGTGGTTTTGTGTGGCTTAGCTCCTATCTTCTGTTTCTGTGAGTTACTTGATTTGACCTAAAAGCATTTCTGGTTAAATTTCCTGGTGGGTGCACACAATGAAACACTATATCATAATCAATAAGTAGATTGGAGAAGAGGAGGCTCAGGGGAGACCTCATCACTCTCTACAACTACCTGAAAGGAGGTTGTAGCCAGGTGGGAGTTGGTCTCTTTCCCCAGGCAACTATAAGTAAGACAAGAGGGCATGGTCTCAAGTTGTGCCAGGGGAGGTTTAGGTTAGACATTAGAAAAAATTTCTTTGCAGAGAGGGTAATCAGACACTGGAATGGGCTGCCCAGGGAAGTAGTGGATTCTCCATCCCTGGAGGTTTTTAAGAAGAAACTGGATGTGGCACTTAGTGCCATGGTCTAGCAACCGCAGTGGTAGTGGATCAAGGGTTGGACTTGATGATCTCTGAGGTCCCTTCTAACCCAGCTGATTCTATGATTCTATTTCTATGTTGGAATGATGAGAAAAACATCAAACTACTCTCTTTAAGACCTTTGGTAGGAATTTTCAAGTAACAGGACTAGATAAGTAGCATTTATCAATTCTTCTGTTAAAAAGAACATGTCTGTGAAATATGTTAGAGGAGAGCTATCCATGATTCCCTTTTTCTTCCTCTGCTTCCATAACCACAAAAACCCCAAACATTAAAATAGCCTGCTAAAAATGACTGTTCACAATACCGCAGGAGGAACCAACCAAATGAGGCCTACACTCACATTTGTCTGCAACATTTATTTTAAAAAAATAATGTTTAAAAAAGAAAGACAGCTTCAAATTTACATTCATTTGAGAGTTTTCTTTGGACATCAGAAAGAGAAGAGCAGACAAACAGAATAATCCTATTCCAGTCTTGTTTAGCTTCAACAAAGAGTTCCTCCTTTAACTGTGAGTGTCCTTTTCTAGTCTATATTTCAGGCATTTCATGGCAAGTAGTTATAGAGACTGAACTATCTTGAAGATTGCTGATAGTCTTACAACTTGTCCAATTATAGTAAGAATTATTTTTTAAAATCATTAATCTATCCTTGCTGTTGATTGTGGCAGGAAGAATGTAACAAGGAATCATGGGAGTTGTAGTCTGCCGAGTTCTCACGCATGCTCAAACAATACTTGATTGTCATTGGTTGGAACAGAGCAAGCATCTGTGTACGGTATTGGGGCCTGAGACACAGTTGATTGCAATTAAATATTCACCTCTTTCTGGAGAGTGCAGATCTAACTTTTGGCACACAGGTGTTATCTCCAAGTTTATCTCCTTTTGATATCCAGATACATATTTGCATAACATCTGGATTATGTTTTCAAGCATTCCTTTCAGCAACATATTTATAAGAGAAAAAGCACTTTTTATTATCATTTTCCCCACCTGCATTGTACTTCA